AAAAAAAAAAAAATGAAACAGAAAGAAAACTTCAAATAAGCAACCAAACGAGAATCATTTTTGGTAAAAAAAGAAAAAAAAAAAAAGAAAAGAGAATGAAGGGTTAGCAATCCCAAGATTTCAGCAAGCAGCAGATTCATTAGAAACTGGTTAAATATCAAAAGATTCAACATTCTAAGAATTTGATATTGTTAGAATATTATACAAAGAAAGAAAACATTTTTTTTATTTTTGTCTTGAACAAAAAGAAAAACAAATTCTTGGAAATAATTAAAAATTTCAGTTAAATCTCTTAAATATTATATATATATATATATATATATATATATATATATATATATATATATATATTGTGTGTATTTAGGCAGCTATTTTTCATTGATGCATGTTTCATTAAATAATATAGACAAGTTTTGTCTATTTATTTTAAGTAAGTTCCTTTTATATTGTCTGATAAGCTTAATAACATTATCATGCAACAAAAACAGACTATCATTGTTTTGTCCGTGTATTGTTTGATATATTGAAATGTTATTGTTATCTTTGATAATGGCTTATGTAAGCTGAAAGCTTAGATAGGATTAAAACATGTATCAATATGATGATTTTCTTTTATCTTTCAATGATAATGTTATTAAGCTTATCAGACAATATGAAAGGAACTGACTTAAAATAAATAGACAAAACTTGTCTATATTATTTAATGAAACATGCATCTATATATAAGATCTTTGATAGATATTCATATCAATAATGAAATAAATAAAACATAAAAATCAATTTCTAAGGAAAAAATTACTTGCTTTATGTATAAAAAAAAAACCATCTTAATTGAATCATTTGGGCATAAAAAAAAAAACAAAAGGAAATTCCATTGTGTTGGAGAGGAAAATAAAGTTTGGAATTTTTTTTTTTTAAATTGACATCAGTAAAAAGAACAAATCAGATATAACAAATACTAAATAAAACAACAGATTTTTTTCTCTACCAACAAATAGCAAATACTTATACCAAAGTAACACTTGGTAAATAATAAACATTAACAAGTTTCAAATCTTATAGTAGAGAGACTTATTAAAGAAAAAAATATGGAGTTAAGGATAATGTTGGGAGACAAAATTTCAATCATGTGAGATTATTATTTTATTTATTCTCATACTGTGATAACATTTAAATTATCACTTGACATTTTCAGGTCCTTGTTTTTATGGGTAATTCAGAATAAGTCCAGTCATTCTAATTTTTTTTTCTTTCTATGTGCCACATCTCTTCAGGACACATAGGTGACCATGAAAATTTCCTACCCCCTTTGACTCTTAGCAGTTTTTCTCCCTTTGCTAAGCACGCCCACCTAACCCTCCACTTCCACATTGACACTAGCTCACCAGGTAAGTGGCTTGCTGACTCCCCCTATCTGTCTTAACCTCAGTATACCCTGTGAGTGTTAAGTTTTTTAAACCCTCCTTCCTCATTATGTGTCCAAAGAATTTCAGTTGTCATTATCAAGTACATAACAAAAACAAAAAAAAACCCCAAAAAACCCAAAAAAAACCCTACATCTCATAAGCTTCATTCATTATGCAATGATGGTGAAATATCAGCATGAACCACTTGGAAGATTTTTTTTATATCTACATGGGATAACCTTGAATTATTTTGATACTCAACCAAACAATACAGGATAATCATTTATCTTGAATCTGCCTGAAATTACTGACACTTACAAATGACCCATCAGATTCAAAATAGCGTTATTTTCTTAAATTTATAATGCTAGAATTAAAATGTATACTGTCTTAAAACTAATGAATTATATTAACACATCCACTACTATGGACTTATACATCTTTACAAAACTTACTTTACCCGCTGTTGAAATAGACATACATTTTCAAAACAGTGTGAATATTGATCCTTAGTGTTTGTGTAATAAACTAACTCACACTTAGTGCTATTTACAAATCAGCATAGATATAGTAGTGTACAATATGACCTGTAACAGAACATGTTTTTATTATATTGTATTCCACAGGGTGCCATTAGCTTTATTTTGTACCAAAGAGTATCTGATCAAAATCAAAAGGACAGCGCCAATGTGAAATGGGCATCAGTCTTTATAGTTGTTTATTTCCAGTAAATGGCAATTTCCTATTTTTCTCCAAAATGGGCCAGCACAGTCGGGCAATAATGCTATAACGATGCAGCAGTGAAAGTATTAAGGTACATTAAATTCTAAGTAATCAATTTGACAACTAGAAAGTCAGTCGACACAAATAGCTAGTATACAATAACAAAGTAGTCCTATGGATTCCTTTAATGTGTTTTTTCCTTCAGACAATTAAATATGGACATTTTAAATAATAAAAACTAAGAAAAAAATGTTTCATTTTCTTTTACCTAATAACAAAATACAGCCATATTGATATGCCATGCAGAGTTAATTATCATGCACAATTTAGGTTAATAGTCTTTGCCCTTATTGGCACATTATTTTTTCTACTTGAAACAAAGAATTAATGCTTTGATGATAAAACAGATATTAGAAAAACATTAATAGAAATTTAATGTTAAAATAATACATTAGAAAAATACCTACCAGATGTATTGTAAAAATATATGTAACTTTTGGATACCACATCATAAAACATACAAAAAATTTTAACAATAAACCAAAAATATTTATATCCAATATCTTAAATTGGAGTCTTTAAAAAATGTTAATTCCTTAACCAGTGTAAAGTTATTTGAATAAATAAAATGCTGATGTCATCTCATGTGATTCTCAGGCCAAATGATGGATTTCTTTCTGTTCATCGATTATTTCTACTACCATGGCCTCTTAAGGTATCACTATTTTAAGATTTGCACTATGTTTGATTACTGCTGTATTTTTTTAAATCAAATAGAACTATTCAATCTTTATAGCATTTGCATGAATGTCCCCTGCACACTGTGATTAAAACATTTATTTTATTTGCTCAATCATAGATATTTTTCTTTTTCTTTTTTTTTTAAAATCTTTAAAAGACACTCTGTTCATTCACAGAAGTTGTTTAAATAAATTATCATCAAACATAATTTCATGTCACATTCATATTTTTGTCAAACAGGAAATTACAACTGGATAATACAACAATTAAAATCTTAAAAGTTAGATTTAATAAAAAGAAATAAAACAGAAATGTTTTGGAACAATATTCCAAATAACACCAGGAAAAGAAAAGAAATATTATATAAAATATACAAGTATAATTATTTCAGAACTGTCCTCTTACAAATACATCAGTTTATGATGAAATATAAATAATGAGTTGTGAAATAATTACACTTACATTTTTTTTTTTAGCAGAAAAACTACAGGACTGCAAATAAAACCTATTGTAAAAGAATCAACGTGTGTGTGTGTGTGTGTTTATCCCTTTCATTTCAAGCAATTTAGTCAAACTTAAAGCATTACCCAAATTTGAGAAATGATTGAAAAAAAAAAAAAATGATTGAATTACTTTGAGAAAAAAAAAACAGTTAGAATTGAACCATAGGATCATAACAGTAAAATAAATTATTAAAAATACAATGTCCGTCATTATCTTTCATCTCACTGAATCCTATTCTTTTTATTGTTCTTTCTCCTCAGTAACATTTTCTCAATTTCCTTCACTATCGTCTTTCATCTTTAGTATCTCTTGTGTCTTAGCGGTTTTATTGCCTTTATTGTCATTCCTGGAATTTTTCTAATAACAAAGCAGAGTTTAGACATTGGTTGATGAGGTTCCATAGAAGGACAGTAATTAGATAAAAGGATTGTAAAATCTAAGGTTCAATCACTAGGAGTGATTGCAATAAAAACTTATGACATACAGTAAATGCCTGTTTTAAATCAAGTAAAGGGGTTACAGTACATTGAGCAAAACATGAGGATATTATGAAAAAAAAAAAAAAATTTCATTTCAATTAAGAAAATTTGGTAACTTAGTTTTTGGTTTTGGAAGTAGTCTATTAAATTTCATTAATTTACTTTCACTGTTTCAAAATAATGTGCAAAAATGATTAGTTTTCATGAATTGTACAGAAAGGCATAGCCCAAAATTTCTTTGGTGTATTAAATTATTTTAAGTTATAACATTATAACTTATGTTAAAAACTCATAATATTATAACTTATTACTGTAACTATTATCATAACAATATAACTTATTATAATTGGAGAACATATTAATACTAACTTTCAAGCAACTTTAGGATTTTATTCTACTAGAACTTTTCATTTTTCTCATATAAAAAAGAAAAGAAAAAAAAAACTGTTCAAGGTACCTTTTACAATCTTTCAGGGGATTAAATAATTGTCTAGACATGAGTAGAGAGTATTTGAAGATGTATTAAATATTTCTTTGATTGCTTCTTTTAAGTGAACTTATTTGGAGTCATAGTTGGTCACATCAATTCTCTGGAACCAAATAGCATCACTTCCTTTCAATGAAGACTGGACATTCATACAATTGTTTGTCGTTTAGTCCACTTACCTACCCCCCCCACCCCCGCCAATTGTATTTCACATTATTTGAAAGTCTAATAAAAAACAAAAAAAACAAAAAAGACTTTTTTTTTTTTAATTCAATTCATTTACCTTTGGTTCAAGTCTTGCTTTTTTTTTTTATCATAAGTAATTCAGCCATTTCTAAACCTTAAGCAAAATATAAGATTATTCCCAAGTCAATGCAAATCATATCATGAAGGCACAGAAGAAGATTTCTTTTATATGTAAAGGCCACTTGATGAAAATTTGAATTAAATTTCATTTCACACACAAATGGTTGGCATCATTTTGACTCCAAAAGAAAATATCCCATAAAAGAAAATGGTATCAGGTTTTGGATGTGGAGTGCACCATTGGACAAAAACCGGCAGAGGTGTAAAAGGATCTTCAAAAGCATCAGCAAGTGGTTTAGAAGAGTCAAGTTAGTGGTCATCCTAAAAATAATGCCAGGTGCTGAAAATACTTACAATTTCCACAACTCCCCCAGTGGGGTTAATTGTTGTCTTAGAATCGGGCTTAGATAATGACCGAGGCATGTTGCTAACGGATTCCTAATGAAAACAGAGAAACGCACAATCAAAGCAGAGATGACATAGATGGAGAAGGCCAGAGAATGAAAAAACCCCTGAATATTTACCTGGAAAAAAGACAGTGAACATTGGATATTTCTTTTAAAAGATCAATATCCGAAGACTAACATTATAAGAAAGAATTTGATTTTGTGGTGTGGTTAAAATACCAGTGAAAACAGCAACTGTATGCACAAACCTAATTTAACAGCAAACTTTACATAAGAACATTTTATGAATGCTAAATAACAAGAAAAATAAACTGTATATGATTCTAAGAGTTAAGAAGTTTGTGATCTTTTCACCAACAAGTTCTATCTTTCTTTGAAAAGAGTTTTGAAAGTTTCTTCAGTATGTCACAGACAGTAAAAGTAATAGAGAGTATTTGTGGTTTGTATTTTGTTTTCCAATTGTCTTCAATACAAGAAAATGGAAAGGCACAAAAATATATACATGATCATCTGTTCTTTGTGGAATATAACAGCCATTTTGTTACATTTGCCTAGTCATGTGATTATAACAAATTACCCACTGTTTTTACATTATTTGGACTATTGCCCTCATCTTTGTCACCATATTTATTACAACGTTTCGGCCGTTGTACATTCCGGCCTTCTTCAGGTGGTTGGAATGTCAAACTGAACCCTTTATTTCGCTCACTGGGGTAGACTGTTCTAGTTCCATGTGCCATGTTTAATGGATGTCAGTTATCAGTTATCACTTGTTAATTTCCCTCTGAAAGTTCTCCACTGCCTTAACCGAGTATTGAACTCACACTCTTTGGGTCCTGTCACTGGAACTAACTAACACCTTTATCCACTGTGCTATGTGTCCTTGAGGACACATGGCACAGTCTACCCCAGTGAGCAAAATAAAGGGTTCAGTTCGACATTCCAACCACCTGAAGAAGGTTGAGCGTACAACGGCCAAAATGTAATAAATGTGACAATAAAGATGAGGAGAATAGTCCTAATAATGTAAATAGTGTACATAATACCTCATCTCAGAAATATAGACAGATACCCACTCTTTTCTCTGGATATGACTGTAGCCTATCAATGAAAGGAATGCAGATGACTAGTATGGGGGACAGTGCTAGGAAGGTTAGGATCATTCATTTTTCAAATGCATTAATGCAAAATTAACAACTATTTCCAAGCAAGTAAGCCTACAGGAAACTAAATCAATATTTAAATTTCCAACTTAAGTTTCAATAATGATTCAAAATCCTCCCTCTCTAAGAAAACACAAATCATGGATTAAAATTAGAAAAAAAAAAAATTTCATAAGCAACTTTTTAAAATGCATTTACATAAAAATATTTTATTTAATATCAACCCCAAAAATCCAAAAAATATTTTTGAGTAGGTAATTATGATGTTAAATTGCAGATGTTTAAGTCAAAAAATATTGTCTGGCCACATTTTCTGACTGAAGACCAATTTTTACTTTCTAATTTGAAGAAAATCATACATTTATATGAATGTTTCACCTCATTGTGACAGAATTTAATCAAATCCATTTACCAAATCTTTGTAGTAGTCAGCCAGTGGTTTCTCCAAACTCATTTTAAAAGAATATTTTATCCCTCCACCATGTGTAGGATTACATTTTAAAAAAATACAATAACAACACTTCATTATCCTAAATAAATAATCCATTTGAAAGTTTTTTGCATCAGCCAATGCAACTGCAAGCAAAAAGTAATGATAAAATAAAATAAATGACTAAATTATGCTACACGTGTTAACTATTGAAAATTTATTAAAATAGTAAAACAAAAAAAAAATCATGAAATTGGTTTTCAAGACATTGTCCCAGATTTTGTTTTAAATTTTATTGTTTGAGGAAAGAATTTGAAAATATTCTAAGATGGATTTAAATTTAGACTATTTCATAGAGGAATAGAACATACAACAAAAAGTAACTAAAAGTTGTTAATCATGATATTAAATTGTCAATATTTCATAATCTTAGATAAATCCAGCCAAAAGGGAAAAAATGAGGCAAGAAAGATTATGGTATACCAATCTTTCAAGTGGGGAAGAGGTATAATTGTATGCAAGCATTTTATTTCCTAGTTGTCTGCATTGTTTATATAAATTGTTTTTTTTTTTTTGGTCTTATTTCTAATCAGATAAAGACAGATTGCATACACAGTATATAATAATATATGTTGATAAAGGGAATCTATTAGATATTTTACATTTTCAAAGATTATGTATAGGTTTATTTATTTATTAAAAGGAATAACAACAGACTTGTCGCATACCATATATACTTGTGGATAGGTTGCACCCTTAGTTAGGGGTTGTCAAAGTGGGTATTTGTAGTTAATTTGCAGATAGATCGCACTATAATCTGGGAAGTTATGTGCCCCTCCCCCTTTTAACTTAAATGTAACGAATATTTGTAAATGATGTTTCTGAAATTCTAAAGTCTCTTTCCATGTTCTTTTGCATAATCCACCACTTTCAACTTAAAATCTACTTCATGACTCTTTCTCTTACTCAGGTTTAGGGTTTGCAATTATTAAAATTTGTAAACTACCAGTTCCAGTAAAAATCAGGGTGAATTGAGTTTTTGTATACTGATAAATGACTACGCCATACTGAATAACTGTAAGCAAAACTGTGATTGGTTGTAATTGCACTCCTAGTGAAATTTTGGTGAGAAAAAGTGCAACCTAAGCTTGATTATATATGGTAATTGGAAGTCCCTTAAGAAATAAAAAAAGGAACTGTTTAATGGAAAAGTTTCATCACTTTTTATTTTTAAAAAAAAAAAAAAAAAAGTAAGAATTATGGTAAAATTGGAAATAATAAATTATTTTGTTATATTTTATAGAAACAGAATTATTTGCATTTGAAATTATGTTTACAATGCTTGTACTGGAAATCAAATATAAGAAAATAGAAAATTGAAATGTTAATTACCAAATAGACACACAAATTTGAAAAAAAAAGAATCTACCAAAAATCCTCATATATATGGTGTTCGCTTGACAACCCAACTGTCAGGGTTCGATACTCGGTAGTGGATGCGCACTGCTGATGAGTCCCAAATATAGGACAAAACGGCCGTCCAGTGCTTTCTGCATTCTGTAGAGGTTTCTATCAGACTTGATGAATTAATTAAATATCATTATCAAATCCTCCTACTAATTACTATCTGTGTTTATCTTCGCTTGAGCCAGCTTCTAATGCTCCAGTTGGTAGCGGCTTGGTGAGAGGTCGTGGCTCCGGGGCACAGTCCTATGGTCACAGAGAACTCAGTTGAGTTCCGTCACGAATATTTTGTGAGTGAATAGGTTTTAGTTGAGTCTGATTTGGAATCTCTTCATAAAACATTAAAAAGTTAAAATCTTCAGACACACTGGGTTGTAGATTAATATTCTTTCGTTTTTACTATTATTATTCCATTTAGATTCCTCATATATATATATATATATATATATATATATATATATAAATAAAAGGTTTTACTGATGAAGCAGTAATTTAATTACTCTCAGTTAAGATTAACAAAATCAGAATCTTAATTAAATTAATTTTATTAATCTGATAATTGATGATTCTTAAGCCAGGAAGGAAATTTTTGTGAAGTAAAAAAAACAAGGATGACCGAGTGTGAGAAACAATTAACTGGTGGGAATAAAAACAATTGATGATCAGTTAATCGGTCGATGCAGATATTTACCAATTATCATCAATTATCAACCAGTTCATCTGTACAAGCCTTTATACATAATGAGAAAGTGAGAGTTTGGGAAACATTTTAACCAAAATGGAGTTTTTGAGGCCAATGTATAGAGGCATCATTTTAGCAATGCAACAAAATCAGAAGAGCACTTAATCCTTAAAATTCTTTCCTATATGAAAAAAGGTGTAAAAGAAAGTTATAAAACAATTATTTGCAATAAATACAAAATTCTATTTGAATAAGGACTCTTACATTATTATGTGAAAGTCTTGTGTTCCTTAAATTTATTTCAGTGAGATTAAAAGTGGAGCAAGGATTTATTTCTTAATTGATTCATAAACATATATTTAGTATATATAATAGAAATAGATAGGTTCACCTATTGCCTGGTTTGCACTCCTTCCCAGTCTTTTGAACAGGAGTAGGGGTTTATCCCTTGTTTAGGATTGGATTTCTGGTTTCTTTTCCTAAAAGTCTTTTCATTCTCTTTCACTTCCAGTAACCCCCCCCCACACACACACAATTTCCCAGTGGCATTATCACATTGCTTGGGGTGAAATGATTTTAAAAAAGGGGAGGGAGGTGCCATACACTTGAATACAACACTGGAAAAGGTGTTGAATATAAACAAAATACAAAAGTATCTGTCTGAGATGAGGTATTATGTACATGATTTACATTATTCGGACTATTGTCCTCATCTTTGTTACCATATTTATTACAATGTTTCGGCCGTTGTATGCTCCGGCCATCTTAAGCTGGTTGGAATGTCGAACTGAACCTTTTATTTTGCTCACTGGGGTAGACTATTCTAGTTCCACGTGCCATGTTTAATGGATGTCAGTTACCAGTTATCGCCTGTCAATTTCCCTCTGAAAGTTCTCCACTGCCTTAACCATGTATTGAACTCACACTCTTTGGGTCCTGTCACTGGAACTAACTAACACCTTTATCCACTGTGCCATGTGTCCTTGAGGACACATGGCACAGTCTACCCCAGTGAGTGAAATAAAGGGTTCAGTTCAACATTTCAACCATCTGAAGAAGGTTGAGCGTACAATAGCCAAAACATAATAAATGTGGCGACAAAGATGAGAACAATGGTCTGAATAATGTAAATAGTGTACATAATACCTGTGATTATAACAAATTACACACTGTTTTTACATTATTTGGACTATTGCCCTCATCTTTGTCACCATATTTATTACAATGTTTCGGCCGTTGTATGCTTCGACCTTTAGGTGGTTGGAATGTCGAACTGAACCCTTTATTTCTCACTGGGGGAGACTTTTCTAGTTCCACGTGCCATGTTTAATGGATGTCAGTTACCAGTTATCGCCTGTCAATTTCCCTCTCCAAGTTCTCCACTGCCTTAACCAGGTATTGAACTCACACTCTTTGGGTCTTGTCACTGGATCTAACAAGTGAATCCACTGTGCAATGTGTCCTTGAGTATGTGTGTATGAATTTCTTGGTATTATAAACCTAATGTCAATAGTAACAACAAATAACAATAAAAATTGCAATATGAGCTCTGGTAAAAACAAGCAATGATAACAGCAAAAAATTGCAATATGAGCACTGGTAATGGTTGCTGAGACATTAGGAGCGTACGATGGCTGAAACATTGTAATAAACGTTGTAATAAATATAGCAACAAAGATGAGGACAATAGTCCGAATAATGTAAATAGTGAAAATATAAAAGCCTAACACATTCAACATTTGATGAGCAAGTCATTTTTGTTGAAAGAGCAATCTAACCTAACCCAATATTTGCCAAATTCAATTGGACTTAAAATAAATTCTTTTACAGTTTCAATGACCTTTATTGAAGGGTAGATATGAAGAAACCATTTCTTTAGAAAGGAAATTGGGTGGAAAAAGAAGTTAAAATATGCAAATGTTAAAGATTGGATCTATGGACAGATGTGCTTTCATGTGACAAATTGATTGAAATTTGATGGTTTAATATATAATTGAGTTCTGTGATAATCTACATATGCATTTCTACCAGTGATGTTTTGCAGGTATTGTCAGAATTGATGGTATCAGGAATATTAACAAAAGTAGAAGATTATCATGTCATTCCTTTTGGAAAGCATCTCAGTGGAAACAAGTTTGTCAACACGACAAGAATCCTCAACACATTGCTAATGCAGTGAAATCATATTTGAAAAGAAAGAAACAAGCTGACATAACAAAATGGATTCTTCAACAAAAAAATCAATCTAAATATTATAGAAGCAGGGAAGGATCATCTTTTTCCAAGAAAATCTCCAAAAAGTTTTGAAGGATCCAAGTAGGAGAGACAAGATGATGACGTCAGAAAACTTCAAAGCAGTTTGCTTCCCAGAGTTCTAACTATTCCAAAGGCGGAGTAGATAGAAATCCTACTAAATATTAAATTTACTTAAAAAACTGAATTTTACTTATTACATTTATTTGAAATACTACAAAACCTTTCAATTATTGTGCTATATTCTAGTGTACTACTAAAGACCACTGATTAATACATAACAGGAACTAAAAAAAAAAAAAAAAAAAACAACACTTATCACCCTATTCTATTGTTGCTGAAATAAAAAGGAAAAAAAAAAAGGGAAAAAAAAGAAAAAAAGAAAAAAAAGAAAAAAAGAAAAAAAAGAAAAAAAAAAAAAAAGAAAAAAAAGAAAAAAAAAAAAAAAAAAAAAAAAAAAAAAGAAAAAAAAGAAAAAAAAGAAAAAGAAAAAAAAGATAAGATTTTGCAGTTTTGCTTAATCTAAAAATCAAAGTTCTTTACATTCTGATATGTTAGTTATAATTTGTCTTGTAGTAATCTATCTCTTAACTAACATATTATGTATCTGAATAAAGGCATTTCCAAGTATTAATCTATCAAATCTTTAATAATGGCTACTTTAGAGAGGAAGAGTGAAAGGATCAAGATAACAAAAAATAAAACTGATGTTCTTCTATGTCATTTGCATTTCTTTTACAAAAGAATAATAATTAATCACTTTTTTGTTTTATTTTAACAGAGTAAATAAAATGTGAATTCATGGCTCCTAGCATTATAGAGATTATGGTAATCATACAAATAGTATTGTGTTCAATATAGATGGAACATTGCACATAAGTGTGTATTATCTATTTAGATGAAAACAAGAATTTTTTTCATCTTACCTGTTCATTCTGATGATGGCTTCTCCCACCTGTGGCTACATCAATCATTATACTGGATCCATTCTGAAAAATAAATAAGTAAACATGAAACAAAAACAGAAACCCAGGCTCATCAAAATCTACAGTGGTCATATGAATTGAACAAATACTGTCTAGCAATATGATATGTAGTATCATGAATGAAATTATAGCTTCACAAACTGTACTCCCATGTTCTTTTAGGAGAATCAGGAAAAAAATAAACATGCTTGATCCAATAAATTTAATAAAGTGTAGTTTCATTCTGCATATGTAAATGTGGAGAAAAATATTTATTTATGTGCAAAGTTTCTAAATTTTGCATAATATTTTATGCAAAATTTAGAAACTTTGCACATAAATAAATATTTTTCTCCACATTTACATATGCAGATAATAATAAGCACTTTTAAAAAATCTAAAATTTACATGAAAAATGAATTTGTTATGTATACAGACATTATATTGACATTCAAGATCCAAATATTCCAACATTATGTAAATATGACATGAGTATGGAGGAAAATTATTTAAATAGCAACATATTTTACTTTTAAATGAATTCTTTCAGGTCATCCCAAAATCTAAAAATCTTAAAATAAAATTTTTGTAATTTAGTTTGTGTCCATAAAAAAGAAAAAAATAATTATAATGTCAAAAATAATTATAACAATTATAATTAATTCACTCTTTCTAAACCAATGAAATTAACACTACTTTTCTCCTCTACATACATAAATATATGACACTCATGCTATCAGACATGCAGTCAACACGTGGGTCAACGAAAATTCTGGCACCTTTTTTTTTTCAGGCCACAATGGTAACATTTATCGATGAAAATTCAAATTAAAAATAACTCCAGACCCTTGTTTTATTTCCCAAACTAAATTATCTGGACACTCATTACACACATGTATTTAAAAAAAGGAAAAAAAAAAATACAAGAAATGCTGTATAGAGTTCACTGCTTCTTTATCTTATCATTTTGTTGGATTCTGATCCACATTTGATCCCAAACTCACAATTTTCATCAGTATTACTGCCCCTCATTTCTCCAACACCATATAACAAGCAGATAATAAATAATACTTGTTTTGTTGTTTCCAGGTCTTCTTCTTGTTTCTCATTTTAAAAGTATTTTTGTATATATAAATGTTAGGGGGTTTATAATTATTTACCTAAAGTTATAACTCCCCTACAGGCTCAAAAACAAATGACACAGGAGAAGATGATGGGAGGAGGAAAAAAAAAAGCATTTATTGACCATTGATCTAAAAGACTTACCTATTTTAGAAATTGAAATGTTAGCATACATATAAATGCTAGATTCAAGAATATAAAACTATTCTTGAGAAATTAATGTCTGAATTTTTTAAATAGATTAAAATAATAAAGTGTGAAATCTTACAAAATCTATTTTAATCAATAATAGTTTAAAATCTTTAAAAAGGAAAAAAAGCTTTACTGCATATCAACTTGTGCCTGACAGAATGAACTCATTGTGAATGGTTCCAAAATCTTTAGACAAATGAAAATTGTTAAAAGAATATTGACTTATGATAAGTCATTAACAGTTGTTCATTCAGTTCATAATCTACACATAATAGATCAAGTAGAAAAATTGGTTCAGCAGGAATGAGCAAGAAACACATAAAAGAAATAATGCAAAGCTTAACTAATCCAAAATAATCCTCAAAAATGAAGCACAACTGAAATGTGTTTATTTAAAAAAAAAAAAAAAGAAAGGTCTATAACAGCTCCAGATGAGAACAACAGTTTGAATGAATAATATAATAATAATTTATAATGATAATTCCTCATCTCAAAAATCAAACAAACAAAAATAAAATACAGGGAATTATACAAACCTTTGTAAGATATGGTGTGATGAATACAAAGAATATATCATAAAAGAAGGCCAAAGACAAGAATATGGTGCCAGCCTGAAATAAAGAAGGCGAAATTAGTCATTCCTTCCCCAACAACAAATGCTACTTACCAATGGTAAGTTTATTAAACTTGAGAAAAATAAAAAATGCCAAGGGTGCTTAAAAATTCAGGATAAATGAGAATAGAAAGATAATTATTGGCTTCAATTAAAAGTGGAAAAGGAAATTTGATAGAGAAGAATTTAATTGATTCCACACATACATATGCAGTATGCATAACTTAGGAGTGGGGGGGGATACATATAAATAAAAGAATAAAAAGAAACTTCTGCTTGGAAAATAATAGAAACTAAAAATAGAAATCAAATGTAAAGATAAACATATCAACACTTTGGAAATAATTGATGTTTACATTTGGTGAAGGCAAATGTTGTGGAACTAGACTATATAAAAGGTAGGTTTTGTAATAATACCATACACACATACAAAAGTTAATATATCCACTTTTTTAAATATGGCTTTTAAGAAATTTTAAATTATCATTTAAAAGAAAAACTTAATTTGAATAAACATTTCAGTGCTACAAAATACATTTTTAAACTTTACAATATTTTTACAAGTTTTAAGCAAAGAATCAATCTTAAAAGGATAACTTTCATTTTTTTTTTGCCCAATGCAAAGAAATTCTGTTTTTAAGAATGTGGTATTTCTTCTGAAAATGACAGCAATCTTAACAACTTTAAATCCATATGACAGATAAAGTCATGCCTTGTTTAGATATTAAGTACATATATATTAACAAGGCCAGCTGAGAAATTTGAAAAAATATAAAATAGAAGAAAAAGTAAAAATGTCATTGTTTTGTTTTTCCAAAATGCTTGCAATTTATTGCGTCTGACAAATTTTCATCTTTTTATTTTTTTAAAAATTAAAATTGGAAATGATTGACTAAGGGGTCAATTGAGAACCTTATAAGAATCAAGTGTGACACTGGCAAAAGGAAAAAAAAAAGGTTAAGATAAAAATATAGGCTTGGCATAAGAGAAAAAGGGTTAAAGAATAGAACGATAGACTGAGAGAAATAACCGAGATTTCTTTTAATTGTAAAAGTCTGTTTATTTTTAAGCTGACGTGGTTTTAAGCAAACAACTTTGTTAGTTCGATATTGCCAAGAAGATTGTTCAGAGGAAGCTGGGCTGACAGATGATTGATGGCATTGCTTAAAGTGGAAATTATGTAAAGATGTCTCCTGATTGTGCAAGGGGTAAATTGAGATATAATATTTGGTAATTTTGGAGATGAAGGCAAAATAGGGGAGATGATTTATTTTGCCTATCACAAAGTGGAAACTGTAAACAAGTTGAGAAAATAAAATTTCTTTGTGAGGATCAGAGAGAGAGAGGAAGTGGGAGACCATAGAAGAGAGAGCGAGAGGAAGTAGCAAATCGTAAGGGAGAGAGAGAGAAAGATAAATTGGGAGACAAAAGATAAATTGGGAGGAAGTAAAGTCTGAAAGAGACAGAAAGAAAGAAGGAGACTTTAAAAAGAGAGAGAGATCTGGAGGAGAAGAAAGAGTGAAAGAGAGAGAGTAACTGAGAAAGAAAAGAGAGAGAAAAGATGGAAATTTAGAATTGAGAGTCATTATTGGAACAAAGGAGAGAGAGAGTAAGCTGGAGACACGTAGATTTGAGAAAGATAATGAGAGCCGTAGAGAGAGAGAAAAAAATTGAAAAATATTGAGAAAAAAAGAACAAAAGAATTTATTTATGAAGACAGTAAGAGAGAAGCAACCACAGATATAATTATAAATTGGGAGACAATTAGAAGTGAGAGAGAAGTAACTGGAGACACTGAGAAGTGTGGAGAAAGGAGTGAGAATTTTGATGGAGAGTGATTGAGAAAAAATGGAAAGAGACAACTTTTTAAAGTAAAAGATAAAATTATCGGTCAATTTAAGTGTGCGTTTTTTTTACTAGAAGTGAGAGATCCCAAAGAGGGAAGAGAAAAGGAGAGAGAAAGAAAAGAGAGAGAAAAGACAAAATAAGAGAGAGAGAAAGGGAGACATTTAAGAGAAAATAAATTATAAAGAGAGAAAATGAGAATAATTTGGAGAGAAATAAGAGAAGAGAGAGAAAGAAAAAATTTTTTCTGAGAACAATTTTAAATGGAAATCAAAATTTTAAAGTAACATTTATGCAAAAGAGAGAAGATTAGGAGACATGTAGAAAGAGAACCGGATGTTCCCCAGAAATGTCAAGAGAGAGAGAGACACTTATAGAGGGAGACATGTAGAATAGAGAGACTTAGTGGAGATATGCCAATCTAGGGGAGGGTGACAGTACACATAAAAGGACAGATGTGAAAAAGAAAGCAGGACCACAAAAGAGAGAGAGAGAAGAGTTAAAAATGAGACATTAAAGTGAGAGAGAATGGTTATATGTATATCAAGAGAAAAAATTTTTGGTCTTCAGAATCTCCCTTAGAGGAAGGAATTTGGGAGACAGAGAAAAGAAAGAAGGGGGTTTCATGAACAATGAGAGAGAAATTCATGAGACATAAGAATTTCAGAGAGGGACAGGATTAATGTTTTTTGATAGAGATGCAGAAACAGACAAGTTTTGAGAGAAGGGAAGCACGCAGACATGTAGAATGAGAGAACGGAGAGAATATAGACATTTAGAAGATACAATAGCACATGTTAAATAAATAAACAAATTGTTTAAAAGTAGAGGACGTACTGCAGGGTGGTTTTCTTTGCTCATTATGAGTTGTGTATTTATCTAACATAAATTAGAATCCTTTGAGTTATGGAAGGTGTAGGCAATGGCATGATTTGAGCATTTTGCTAGAATCAATCAACCTGAGAGTAAGAACAACCTTTTCCTGTCTCCATCTTGTACAGTAAAAAAAATGAGGCTTATCTGTCATTATGAGTTCTACACTTGAAAAAAGCTGTAGAATGGATTAGCTGAAATGCGATGATAAGTGTCCAAAAATAGTTTGGAATATTAATTTCTTAATGTTATAGGCCAAAAAATGAAGAAAGAAACAGTTTTGCTAAATAATGATACTAACCTTTAAACTTGGAATACGAATATTTTTTAATACGTGTATACAAAACAATACACCCAGGACATCTTGAATAGCCCAAGAAAAGCTGGAAAAGAGCAAATTAAATGGTTTGAAAGAAAAGCAAAAAAAGAATGTAGACGAAATCTCAAACAATATTCTAAAGGTGGGAATAAATTAAAAACAGAATTAAAAAAAAATACTAAACTGAAAAGTGACACATGAAAACTATTGAATTTGTACTTACTGTGCATGTCTATAAATGAACCAAATTATGCCAACAGACATACTAATCAATGCAAAAACAATCTCTTTGTACTTCATGTCAAAATGATAACATCCCAGACATGAAAACTGCAACCTAGGGGTAAAAAAATAAAACTTCAATCCAACAGGTGTAGTTTTTTTAACAAAAGAAGTTTTATATGTATTTGTTGTGATGTGTTTATTTATAACTGTAATTTCTGATGGATAATTATCTTAAGGATGATGGACTTTGAGAAGAAAGTTCTTTTTGCTTAGTAGAATCTATGTTGGCCACAAAAGAGATAATCAAACTTATAATTTTTTTTCTTCAACATATGACAATGAATAATAAAGCTAAATAGAGAGCATTTCTTTATGGTTTAGGCACTAATGAAGACATGGCAAATTTTGCATAAATATTTGTGTTTCAAAAAAAAAAAAAAAAAATGTGAATTTTTTTTTTTCTATTCATAAAAACAAAATTGAAATAGTTAAAAAAAAAAAAAAAAAAAAAAAAAAAATGATACTTAAGTTTTTGGTACAAACAGAGCAAAGAATTCAATTGCATAATCAATTTCTTTTTCTTTGAATAAATTTCTGGGTTTGTATCATTAGTAATGTATCCTTTGCTTTCTGGGTTTATCCCCACCCACTACCTTTTTTGACAGCACTAACAAATTAAATATGACATGTTAAGAAACAATATGTCAAATTAAAAACATCATCTTTTTGGAATCACCCACCCACCCAATATGTCAAATTAAAAACATCATCCTTTTGGACCCACCTGTGTATTAATGACAAAATCGTCACCCACCATTATAATTTTGCTTACATAACAAGAGATTTTAATCCACAATTTGGCTAATAGATTATTTTTCAAAAAGCATAAATGAAGAAAAAAAAGATAAAAAAAATTTTTGTTTATAAACATTGTAAATAAAAAAAGAAAAAAAAAGAAGTTATTTGAGAGAAGTTAAAGTAATTAGAAAGAAAAAAAAAAGGTCCAAAAAGGTTGAGTAACAACTTACCGCTGTTCTCCTGGTATCACAAAATTCCATATTCCTTTGAAGCAGGTATAGAAAGCAACGGATGATGTAAGAGTGAACATAAAAATCACAACGTACACTGAAATGAGACAACCAGATTCTTCAGCAAGACTACAGACGATGCCAGCAAAGCATCATCATCACATGTAAGACAGAGAAAAAGAGGAGGGAAACATCAGCATCATCATGCAGAGAGAGGCAGACAACATACAAAGCATGCATAGTCAAAGAAAAAGTACTTCATACAAATAACAAAATTCACATCTCCAAGAAAAAGAAAGTAAGTGCTTTAAATTTCTCATTTTTACATTATAAAGTAATTTCATCTCTTAATTTAAAAAAATCAATGAGCATATTTGTTCTTGCAAATATATATATACTATTTATCATAATATATATATATATATATATATATATATATATATATATATAAATATATATATAGATAGAGAGAGAGAAGAAGAGAGAGAAATTTTTTATGTCAAAATTATGGTTAGTCTCAAAATAATAAGCTAAAAAGCCTGAAGGAGGATTTTACTCCATCACCTGTAATAATTGTCACAAAAAATACATAGGAGAAACCCCAAGAAAATAAATATAAAAGATTATATGAACAAAAGGACATTTTAACAATAATATGTCAAATTAATTAGCAAATATTGTAACAGGAATGATAAACAATTTTGACATAAAAATGCTTGATAAAAAGCGAAAAATAATTGAACTACAACATAAATATCTAAAGTGCCCTAATCACAAGTTCATTTACAGTAAATTTATGCCCTGGCTCTTACATTTCCTGGCAGATCTTTTAATATCACAGTGTGGAATACCTAATTACAAAAGTAATGGAAAGAAAAATCAAATAAGTTATCTAAATGAATTCAGCTAGATAAAAAAAAAAATTATAAAATTCCAAATATTAATCCCTTGTTGTGTATCCATATGTAGTTCTACCAACATAGCAAATTTAATCTGATGAAGTCTGGAAGGACAAAACTTCCCATTAAATAAATGATTTTTCCATTTTGTTTACAATGTTTATTTTCAATACTGTTCTAAAATATATATATATTTCTTTTGCTACCTTCCCTTCCTTTCTATTCTTCATCATCATTTTTTTCCCCTATTTTTCTTGCTTCCTTTCTTTCCTCCACCTAAAAAATTATTTATTTCAAAAACTTATCTTCCATTGACAGTTTGATAAATCCTGTAAATTTAATTTTACGAGGTGACAATGATCAATTGCATAATGTCATCTTAATTCCGATTGTACAAGATCTTTTCAATCTTTATTCAATCTTTTTATTCAATTTTTCTTGTGTTTGTCTAAGTGATTTCTTTTCTGGAGATAAAGAATTTAAATCCAGAAAAAATACTTTTTAGACAAAATTTCCTATTTTAATTTGATACTTTGTCAGTTCCTTTTAATGAATTTATAACACACAATATATATAATATATGTATATATATATATATATATATATATATATATATATATATATATATATATATACATACATAATAAAAATGTTTTAAGGTCTATATATTTATGTGTAAAATTTGCTCAAGAAAAAGATAGAGCATATGTAAATATAAAAGTATATCTGAAGATAAATATATAAAACAAACTGTTGCCATTCACTATTATATTTATATTAATATATATATATATATATATATATATATATATATATATATATATATATATATATATATAATAATAATGGACTCTCTCGTCGGTTTCGACGTATGAGGATCTGACAACTTAATTGATTCAGTTATGAAATTTTGTGCGATAATCTTAAGTGGCATTTAAGACCCGCTAGTGATTTACAAAGGGCGCCACATAAGGAGGAAGTGTGAGGATTGTGAGATGTGATCACTGTTAGATTGGCTGACATTTTAGTTCTTGCTCTCGCTTATTGAAGATGATTCATACAAGCAGATTGAAAATTGCTGAGTCCACTAAAACACGTTGATCTCCATTCTACCCGCTCCAAGTTTAAGCGCTCAAGGGTGTTATGTGGTATATTGACAGCTGACAACTTGCTTTTCAGCTTGTCTTTGCATCCTTCCTGTAGCCCTGATCTAACTGGCTCTATATTAGGATCTTGGGTATCCTGTCATCAGACATTCTCAAGACATGACCAGTCCACCGTAAGTGAGACTATGAGAAAAGTCTCGATTCCTCCAATATTACACCTGTTAAACAGGTCTACATTAGATGTCCTATCTTGAAGGTTAACTCCACTGATTGCATGTAGACAGCTTTTATGGAAAACATCCAGCTGGCAGATATGGTACCTGTATGGAATCCACAACTCTGAGCCGTACAAAAGGATGGCAAGGACAACAGTATTCAACTGAATTTTCATATCCAGTTGAATACCCCATTTATTCCACAAGCAACGGTGTATGTGTATTATTTATATATATATATATATTATATTCATACACACACTAAAGGTCAAAAGTTTGGAGCTATCCACTGGGTTTAATAATTAGTAAGTTTTATAACTTACTTAGTTTAATTAACTCCTACTAAACTTGGATGCTGAAACTACTTAGCCCATTAGGTCCAATTTTTTTTTTAGGAAGGGGGATTAACTAAAATTTGAAATCCACCAGAAATAAGATTAACATTAGCCAACAAAGTAAAAAAACTAAAATTTTAAGCAATCTTTGTGCAGCTAATTTTGTTATTGTCATTATTATCATTTATTAAAATCTATGAAAAAAAACATTCAGGAAGAATTGAACTAGTAAATTAGCTTTGAAATGCAGAAGGAGCATCTAAACTTTTGGCTTATAGCGTGTGTATTTGTGTGTGTGCACTTGTATATGTGTGCAATATAGTTTAACTCTGTAACAATGTTCAAACAATTTTTTTTTCAACTATTTCTTTTTCTTTGAGACATAGTTCAAATTACACTTTCACAGACAACAGACAAATAAAACTCATCTACATGCACTTTATTGGAGAAACTGAAAAGAAAATCTCTTAAGAATATTATTTAAAAAAAAAAAAAAGTACAGCAAAAAAATAAAAATTAAAAAAATAGAAATTTAATGAACATTAAAAATTGTTGCACCCCAAATGCTATTGTAAACAAAAATGGAAAAAAAATGCACTTAAATAGTTAGATATTAGAATGGAAAAAAATCATGTAACTTGTTAATAATTTTTTAAAAATTAATTAAAAATATCAAGTGTGTTGATAAAATCTCATTAGAATTGATAAAAAAAAACTATGTTCAAGTAAAAATAACATCACAGAGCAAATGAAAAGCATATCATTTATTTGATGAACACATTTTATTTTTCTTAGTTTTCAAAAGAATCACTTTAAACAGATTATTAATGAAATTTTCATAAAAACTATTTCCTCTCTATGCATCTGTGCATAAATCAAATAAGGACAGAATAAAATAAAAATCAGGCCTTGAACAAAAAAGCTGGATTCTACTTTTATATTCACTTCATTATTCCTAATGCAAATATACCAGCACTTGTTTATAAAAACTCTCATTTTAACTTTAATCAAATTGTTCATAAATAAGCATTTAATATAAGACATGATTGTTTTTAAAAAAATTATTTTTCACATAAATACAAAAAATTAAAAAAGAAACAGCAGAGAAATTAAATATCTAGTCACTGGTTCTCTTTATTCATGTATTACAGAACTTAATTTATCATAAAGGCTTCTTTTTATTTTAGAAACATCAATGATGGACATTTTTGTTTAATAGCATTTTTTTTTAAATTACAGACATTTGAATCCTACTTTATATCAATATCTCCAGGCAGAAAGAGTGAAAAATTCCAAACACCTGTTACATATTAGTCCCACAATAGAAATTAAAACCCTAAGATTTGCACAATTCATTTCCAGGTAAATAACAAATTTTATTTTTAAATACATGTTGGGTATGTGACATTTTGAAATTATTTTGACTTTTTAATGATATTCATTGATATCAGGTCATTGTACGAGTGCAACTGGTACCATGTAATCCAATACTACATGGTCAGGACATTGGTAACTGAACCAGTTGCCCCCCACCAGGCTTTTCTGGTGTAGAGAATGGTGGGGCACTCAGCAGGATTAAAAACAAAATTTGTCAAAAGGATGGATAGACCTTCTTGTAGGATTAAATACCATCTAGCACAATGGGTGGGGTGTAGACCAGATTTCATATCTATGTATACAGTGCGGTTATGACATGGCATCACTGGGCAGAAGACTTCCGAGACTGAAGTCACTATTCTGGGCAGAGTTGATAGAATCAACAGATGCCACATGACTAAAGCAAACCTACAAGTTGGAGGATATCAGCTGTGGTTTGACCTGGAGACAGATATATTACATAAGCTCTACTTGTTAAAGACATGCTATGCATGAATGAATACCAATCTGGATTTCAACCCAGATATGTGGTAGGAACTTACAATCTCGCCTGGTTATTGGGCTGATGATGATGAGGACAAATGATTGAAGTATCAGATTTTGAAAATGAAATAAACTGGTTAGGAAAAAAAAAGTTTTGTTCAAAATAAACTAGGATTTAAGATAGACTATGTAGATCAATAATTTGACAAAGTTATATACCAGTTATGCAAGTCTTATAGACTCCGCTAATTCTAAAATATTATGGATTTAATTTTAATACAACATTTTTATCACTTCAAACATTATTATAGTAGATACTCGTATTTAATAAATTCATTAATTCCTTAGAAATCACTTTGCTTACATTTTGAATATGGAAATGAGCAGATATGGGCTTTTGAGAAAAATATCTTAGTGAGGGGGGGTGTACTTTCCTTAAAGAGGGAAAATGCAGACTTGCTCTACAGTGAGGCTCTTCATGGCAAGGTGGTAAAGCACACCTGATCAAACAGTGGTTTGTACTACAAAGAAGGGTGCAGGTTTGATTTCTACCAGAGAGCACACTTTCTTTAATGAAATTTCTCAAATGCACAGGATTAGACATTATACATCATTTAAAAGTAAAAATCAGGTGTATATTTCAAATACAAATATCCACTATAATAATGTTATATACATATGT